CATTAAATATGTACAGTAGATGATGCTAATCTATTCTAGTCCAAATACCCGTATTGTAACTAACGTAAAGCATCGCTTTGTAGTCCTTATTTTCATTAAATAAATGCATTTTTGGCATTTTAAAAAAATAAAATAGACATTTCGGGAGCAAAAATAGACCAAAATCAGGAAAATTCCTTAAAATTGTTACAAAATATGCATATTTTTTTAAACTCCAAATATTTTTTAAATATTTTATATTGACTTATAACTTTTGCCTATGAATTTGTTATTGTTGGATACGGATAGATCCCAAATCCTGGCCTCATATCTTTAACCGACGGTCATATTTAAAAAAATATGAATTTAATGCTCTACTTCTCACTCTCTTGGGTTTGATCGCCAGTCTCTTCGCACCGGTTGTTGTAGTCATTGTGGCGGATGTTGTGACCGGCGGTGCTATCAATGGACTCACATTTATTGGGATCTGTCTTCCACTCGAATCCGGGGCTATAAATGAATGCAATGTATAATAACCTGATATTTGACTTCACAATCATAACCTTCTCCACTGAATCTATTGATAATTCCATAACCAATGAATGATTTTCCAGGAAACTTGGTAATACGATTTGTCTTCACCATAATCGCCTATTAGTAGCTATTATTATACATCAGATCTTTATTTTGAACACTGGATCTGAACACTTGTATGCCTTCATATCTGCCATTAGTTTTCATTAATTCACACAAATTGTCAGTAATTTTGCAGTGAATGGCATTTAGAGACACAATTAATACAAGAATTGCAATCATTTTATGTGTAAATTTCAGTTAAAAATTAGTTCTCATTTTCATTCAATTTCATATAATAATAAAAGTTTTTTGTTATAAATACAATTCGAAATATTAAAAATATTTATATGTAATTAAAAAGAAATATTCACAAACTTTTATAAATAGCAAAATTATATACAAATAAAACTAATAAAAGAATTCAAATATAGATAAAATAAAGTACAATTTATATACAATTTCTAATTAAAAATCAATCGAATTTAAAAGTCATAAATTGTGACGAAATGTGCAGAATATATACGAATACAAAATATAAAAATCTAATAATTAAAACCATGCAATTTTTGTGATGTTTTAATATGGTTTTGTATTTATCCTTAACATTTTGTGATATTTTTCTCGTTCCTCTTTAGATATAAATTATATCATATAATAAATAAAACCATTAATAATTGTAATAATTATCTCAAACACTAAACACATACTTCTTTGCTCTGGTGTGAGATCTCTGTCGGGGATTCGCGGCACCTCTTGCTGTCGAGGGGTTGGTCCGGGCGTTGGGACGGCTGGTGCCACCGGCGGTCCTGTTGATTGACTCGCATGTGATCTCTTCTTTTCACCCGATTTTGAAGCTATAAATGAATGCATTATTAATACACAAAACATTAATAGTTTGTAATAATTATCTCAAACACACAACACATACCTCTTTGCTCTGATGAGAGAGAACTGCGGACTGGCTTTTCAGACACCTGTTTCTTAACACCTGTCGGCGCGGGCTTTGGGACAGTTGTTGGGACCGACGGTTTTGTCGATGAACTAACACCTGGTGGTCTCGGTTCTCGTCTCGATTCTCGGGCTATAAATGAATGCATTATTAATAAGCAAACCATTAATTGATTGTAATATTGATGTCAAACACTAAACATACGTTTTGTTGCTGGTGTCGGAGGAGCGTGGGCTCTCTGTTGGGGCACCGGTTGCTCACTAGTGGACGACGACTGAGATTTCAACCGCTGACGTGACTGTGCCCTCTGTTGTAACTTTGCCTTAAGTGCCAATTGTGCCAAATGAGCGTCAAGTGCTGTTGGCGGTGGTTTCGATGAAGGGGTTTTATCGGTCTCACCTAACGGTTCGGCTGTAAATGAATGAATGAATGCATAAGAAGTGATCAATTAGTGGTCAAACATGTATTCAAACAATCAAATACACGACACATACTTTGGGACGGAGGCAGTGTTGGAATGGTAACGAGACTTTCATCAGATTGTAAGCCTGTGTCGGCTGCAAAAATAAATGTTTATTTCATAGAAAATATTTTGTTTATTTTTTATAGAAATTATTAAATGTTTTATGTTTTTACGTTTTTGTGGCCAATATCTCTTCACCACAAAATAGCAGATCAATAACACGACTATTATGACAACGATGACAGCGACGGAGATTGCAGCAGTTTTACCCCACTTTTCCCACCAACTCTTCTCCGGCGGAGGGAAGCATTCGGGGAATATAGGAGTGATCTCCTCTTTGCACTAATAATATGATAAAATTAACAAATTTTATACAATAATTAATAATAAAAATACTGTAATCTTTGTGTCGTCTATGAGTTTAGAGCAAAAGACTGGCCGTCCATCTCGTCTGAAGAATATGTGGTGTCCGAAGATTGACTTTCCGTAACCAAAGTCAACGATACCATCGATACTGTCAACAATTGATGGGTCTATGGTTTCGACTACTGTTCGATTTCTACCAATTAATTGTTTGCATTTGGTTTTATCGGTCACTAGACTTGGGCTCTGTTTCGGCGAATAACACGATATGAGTGACCCATTCCTACTGTAAATGACAACCCATTCATTAGTGCTATCACTCGATGCCCGAAATATGATAGCTTTGGGCTCGTATTGAGAATCCGAGTCAGTCGTGCTCTTACGACCATCGAAACAATTGGTTTCAATAAGAGTCTTGTTTGCAATCTTTTAAATTAATTAAATTTAGATGTTTAACAAATGTATTGAATTGTTAATGGTATACAAAGGTATAATAACCTGATGTCTGACATCACAGACGTAATCATTACCACTGAATCGATTGATAATCTCTTTACTAATTGACAGATTCAATACATTGTAATCCATATGAATGTTTTCGTCTTCTATCTTAAATGTCCATTGATTGCCATTATTATACATGACATTCACTTTAGTCCTACTCGATCTAAACACTTGTATGCCTTCATATCTGCCATTCGTTTTCATTAATCCACAAAAATCGTTCTCTTTTTCACAGTGAATGGCATTTAAAAACATAAGGATTACAATAATTGCTATCATTTTCTGCATAAATGTAGTGAAGAACTGATGGCAGAGATTGTAAAACAGTTGGAAAATGAACTATAATTTTCAATTCAATTCTAACAATAAATATAACGCGAGCTTTAATCCAATTATTTCGTATGTAATTGTTTAATTATGGTTAACAAATAACTGTATTGATTTATGCGTTCAAATAACTATTGTTACAAAAAACATTTTAACACAAATATATGACCAAAAATGTTATAATTTTGTTATTAGTATTTATTGTAATTTATTTTAATTGTCAATCTATTTAAATACAAATCAGATATTTTCAATTATTTCTGTTGTTCTTTCAAAAACTAAATTAATTAACAATTAATTAAATAACACTTCAAAAGTCATATTGAAGTTAATTGATATCATACCTGTGCTCTCAATTGCTCTTAATAGTGGTTTCTTAGGCCTAAAACATGAATAATACAATCGATTCCAAAATTCTATGTACAATACAAGGAGTGATAGTGTTTCCCGAGCATTCATTTCAACCGTTTATCAGTAATACCAAAAAATAGTAGTAAATATCAATATTTGTAATTATATAATGTTACTATTATTAAATACAAATTTAAATTTTAATGTAGTAACTTGAAGTGAGATCTTAATAGAAATGTGTTTTGCCAGTAAATGTTTTTTGCACTGTTTAATGACTTGTATTTATAGTTAGTTTGTTAATACTTTTTCAGTACATCACACGTAACTGTATATAACATTGAATAACACTGTTGTTTATCTAATCAATAGACTTACGTATAACAATATAAAGTTAAAACAATTATTTTCATGAAATGGCTTTGTATAAATAATGAGTACACACCTAGATCATTATTAGGTTTATAGTTCTATCCTTATGAATCCGAAATTCAAATATCAATAAATTTATAACAACTTATACTTTTGTGAATAATTCCGTACTTTTAGGAAAAATTTGTCAAATTATCTAAATTGCAATTTTCTGTGCATATTATTGTATATTATTGTGGAATTAATTACCATCATAATATTGAAATACACGACATATCTATTTTACAGAACTCTATATATTAAAATATAATTTTTAAAACATTTTTAAAAACATTTTAAGTACAATATAACTGCGGTTATAATTTCATTGATTGGTTTAAGAAAACAACATAATTAGGAATATAACACTTTTTAAAATATTTATTTATGATATTTTCGTAATTCAACAACAATTTATTGAGTTGATCAAGCGGGAATACCCCACCCCGCCCTAATCTGCGCTGAGTGGGCGTCCCCTTTGGCCAGATATATGTTCCCGGCATAGGGTTCGCCCAAATTATATTTCTTAGCAAATTCCCGGACTTTGAAATACGGTCGGCCATCAAATCCCTCTTTAGGAGACGGCGTCTCCGAGTGGTTGAGTCGACCCGAGGGTTGTTTGTATACCAAGAATACGTAACGATGCGGTGCGTCGGCCGCCGGTGGCGCCGATCCCATGAAATGAGCCAACGTTTCGCCCGCCGAGAGATCATTGCCCGGTATATCAACGACATGCCAGTGCTTGAACTCAGCCCGCGCTCCGGCGTCCGGGTCTGTCATTATAAACGTATAGTACGCGCCCTCTTCTGTGGGCCACTGGACTGTGGGCTCGTCTTTGACGGACAGTGGCGTCA